CTGAATTCAACCCTCAGTTCCACACACACACACACACACACACACACACACACACACACACGAAACTAAATAAATAAATAAATAAAATGAAAAATAAAATTGAAGAAGAAATAAGGTATTTCCATGATGTTATGGTTTGTGTGCAGTTGTCTTTCCAAAGCCTCATGTAGTCACTGGGGCAGCTCCTAGAGTTTGTAATTAATTTATGATCTAATGCTGGAATTATGGATGTGTTACACCTGCCCTGTGCTACGTAATCTGCATACAATATGGGGAGGGCAGAGAGGTTTGTTAGCTGCTTCAGCTGCTGCTTCATGATTTGTTCTTTGCTGTCCCACAATTCCTGGCATGAATGGCTGCCCTCTGCCTTGTGCCACTTTGCCTTGGAACCTCTAGTAACTGTGAGATAAATAAACAATTTCTTCATTCTGGGTGTTGGGTATTTTGTCCCAGCAATAAAGAAAAGTAACTAAGACAAAATTTGGTAGTAGGACTAGTGTCATTTCTGTGATTATATACCTGACTATGTGGATTGCAAGTATTTGAGAACGGCTTATAGAAAGTGATAGGAAAGGTTCAGGTATATTGTCTAAAAGAGAAGTGCTAGAATACCTTTGACTGCTCTGAATGAGAGATTCTATTCAGAGCTCAGAAGACCAAAATGCTGGTAAAAATCCTGCCTGTAAAGACCAGACTAGGGCTGTTTCTGCTGGGAAAAAGAAGTGCATTGGTTGTTGGACTCCAGATGATGTGTGTTATGGCAGAAAGTTTGTCTGCATTTTTCTCATGTCTAGAGACTTTGCCTGCAAATGAGATTAAGCATGGAAGACTGATTAATCTTGCTAAAGAAATTTCAAGGCACTCAAATGTGGAGGTAGTGGAATAGCTATTGTTGGGGGATTTTAATCAGATTTATGTTAAAAAACAAGAACAAAAAACTCAGAAGGATGATTTAAAATATCTTGAGTTTGCCCACCCCATCAAATGCCAATAAAGCTGTAGACTGCAATGAAAGAGCTAAGAGGATCTCCACTGCCAAAAAAGGAACAAGAAAATAAAAAAGAGGGCCTGAGGGCATCACAATATCAGCAAGTCTCCACCCTTAAAGCCTCCAACCTCCACAAGTGACTTCACTTTGAGAAAAAAGCCACAAAGCACCATGTTCCAAAATGATGGTGGCGGCCACACCAGGTTCCACAATGTCAGTGGCATAAAAACTCTGTTCCTGAAAATCATGGTGACAGTGCTCAGCAATCTAGGCATTCAACCCCTACAGCCAAGAGCGAAGAAAATCTGGCTTGTTCCAGTTGGTGGCAGATCTTGGCAAGATCTATGTGGCATTGATTTTAGGCACATGCAACATGCAAGAGTTCTGCAGTTAAAAAGGCTTCCATCTACATTTCAAAACAAGGCCCAGGCAGCTGGGCAGTGTGCCCCTGAGAAGGCAGTGTGTGAATCAGAGAAGCCTAATGTGTAGTAAAAAGCCCAAAAGATTAAAAAAAAAGCCAAAAACGTAGAATATCTAAGAGAAGTTACAAGGAGAGAGAAGAGCTGGCCTAAAAGAAAAGCCAACGGAGCTTCCCCCAAAAGCACTGTCGAGGTAGAGCCACAGAGAGCTCACAATTTTCTACAGATTCCTTCAGATATTCTATGTAGGACTATAGGACTTAATGTTTGTCCTCCTAGATTTTGGACTTACTTTGGTCCCAATGCTTTGTATTCTGTTGTTTGTACCTTTTAAAATGGTAATGTTTATCTTGTGCAAGTAAATGTCATAAATGTTTAACTTTTCATTTATACAGCTAAGAGTCTGCCTTACATCTTAGAGGATACTTAAAAGTTGGACTTTTTAGCAATGCTAAAACAGGACTTTGGCAACTCTTGGAGATAGACTGAAATGTGTTTTGCAAAAAGAGATGTCTATAAATCTTTGGGGCTCTTGGGGCAGAATGTTATGGTTTCTGTCTAGTTGTTACCCCAAAGCCTCATGGAGCTACTGAGATGATCACTAGAGTTTGTGATTAATTTATGAGATAATGCTGGGATTACAGGTGTTAGTGTTACACCTGCACTGGGGTGGGTAATCTGCAAACAATATGGGGAGGGGAGAGAGGCTTACTAGCTGCCTCAGCTGTTGCTCCTCCCTTTGCTCTTTGCTGTTCCCACCCCACTGCCATGAATGGCTGCCCTTTGCCATGTGCTACTCTGCCTTGGAGCCAATTGAGTATAGACTAACTTTGCTAACTGTGAGCTAAACACACCTTCTCTTCCTTAATTTTGGGTGATGGGTATTTTGTCACAGCAATAGGAGAAAAGGAACTAAAACACATGACAAGGAGCACATCAAGAAATTCATGAGGACCAAACCAGCATTACAAAAATCACCGAGGATATTCTAGAGGTGATAATGAAGCCAACAGTATCAATAACTTAAAAAGAATGAATACACCTGATGGAATGAGAAGCTAAAAAAAAGGGGGAAGAATGAGAAAATCAACAGCAGGAAAATAAAATGACAATAAGCCAATATATCTCAATAATAAGAATGTGAATGGTCTTAATTGTCCAATCAAAAGACACAGATGTACAGAACAGATCAAGAAAGGAAACCCAACAATATACAGCACATAAAAGCACATTTAATTAAAAAGATACTGACTGACAGATTAAAAATCAAAGGATGGAAAACAGTATTCCATAGAACAGGAACCTGGAAAAGAGCAGGAGTTGCTTTCCTAATTTCAGACAAAGTGCATTTCAAGATAAGGCATTTATAAATGCATTCATACCAAATATCAGCACACCTGACTTCATAAGAAAACACTAATAAACATGAAAAACAGATAAATACCAATGCAATACTAATGGGGAACCCTGTGGACACTGTTACAAATGGAAAGATCAACTAGACAAAACAAACAAAAACAGCTAATAATATCAGAATTGACTCAAACTTTGAGAAAACAAACTATATTTTTACAAAATATTCAATTCAACAACATAATACACATTCTTCTCAGCTGTACATGCTTAGAGGAAAAATGATTGAAATTATCCCATGCATACTTTTTTTTTAGGGAAGGTTCTACAGGGTGTTCAGGATCTCTGTTTACAGCCTCCCAAGAGCTGGGATTACAGGTACGGGCCAGCACGCCCATTCTCAATAACCATCTCAGCACTCCACAGGCGCAGGGCCGGCAGGCCAGGTCTTGGGATCATACCCCCTGGCTCCTGTGCCTGCTTGTGGGTGCTTTAATTTGCTGAGCTATTTGGTCAGCCCTTATCCCATGCATATTGTCAGACTATATTGTACCAAAATTGGATGAAGATTTTTTTTTTCCAGGATCAGGCATTGAACTCAGGACCCTGCACTTGCCAGGCAAAGGTTTATTTTACTGAGCTATCTCCTTGGCCTGTACCAAAATTAGAAATCAATAGCAGGGTCCAGGGAGATGGCTCAGTAGAATAAGTGCTTGCCTGGCAAATGCAAGGGCCTGAGTTCAATCCCCAGTTCCCCGCCCAAAAAAAAAATCAATAGCAGAGGAAACCATACAAGCTATGTGAACACAAATTAGTACTACATACCAAAACCTATGGAACTCAATGAAAGCAGTCCTATAAGGGAAATTCATAGCAATAAAACCCCATACCAGAAAAACAGATCCAGCTGATATGAATAACCTAATGATGCACCACAAGTTCCTAGAAAAACAGAAAGCATACAGCTTCATTGCAAATATGAGGAAGAAAACTATTAAAATAAGGGCAAAAATTCCAACTAAAAACCAATACAAAAAAAATCAATGAATTGATGAGTGGGTTCAGTGATTTTAAGTAATAGAATTTTTTTTCTTACAATCCAAGAGACCCCAAGTCTAAATCATTTTTTTCCCAGAGGATATACAGTAAATTCTAAAATATTGTCTAGAGAGTATGTGTAAACTTTAAGTTTTGTAGAAAATAAAAGTGAGTGATTTCTTTAAAAAAGTACAAAATCAAGGTAGTAATAAGACTGCCTTTCTTTTGCACATTTCAGAACAGAATCTGTTTTCTTGGCTTTTTCTCTCATAAAGGCCATCTACATTTCTTGATTTATAGTCACATCTTATGGTTTAGCTTCTTGTTTCTACCATTGCATTTTCTACCATTGTATTTTCTTCTTATTCTGATCATCCCGCTTCCCTTCAATATGGTCTCTTTTGATTATACTGGATCCTTCTTGATACTCCAGGATGATCTCTTCCACCTCAAGATCCTTAATGTAAATCCATCTACAAGGTCCCTTTTTCTATGCAAAATATCACCTTCACAGATTCTGGGGGCTAAGATTTGGACATATTTGTGGATTATTATTCAGCCTGACAGCCTGAACTATAGCTCAGGAACAATCATCAGATTGAGAAAAAGATAAAGTGGCCTTTGTGGAGTTTGTGTGCACTGAAGTGTATGAAGATAAGGAACAAGTCACTTCTAAGTTGGCAAATCATCAAAACACAGGTAGTGGGTGTATAAATTAGCATAAATTATATGGAGAAAATTATAGAGAATCATATGTATGCTAAAGTTGTGTTGAAATGAGAAGCAGAAAGATCAGACCATAAAGTATCTTAAAGATAAAGGACTCCAAAGTTGCTAGAACAACATCTGGGAATTACTGAAAGTTCCTAAGTAAGCATGCAAGGGACATTCTGAAAACATTATTTTCAAAACAATTAGTATAGATATACAAGGATGAGACAACAGACCTTAAGAACTAAATTATCATATCTTCTTTGCAACATCACTGATGTTTAGGCTATCTAAAACAACTGAAAACAAGTTGACAACCATTTCAAGGAAGAGAGAAAAGATAAGAGCATAGTCATTGCAGCATCTGTTTACTTACAGGAATGCAAGACTCAAACAACTAAGGGTTTCCTACAATGCTTTTCAAAGGAAGACAATTTACTATGAGTGCAATAGAAAATTTAAAGATTAAAAAATATACAAATTTTACTTACCTCATTGCCACATTACTTCCATCAATGACAACTGGCCTCAAATTGTCACTGCTGTCTATTTCATCTTCGAGAGACAATTCAGGGCTTGCACTTTCTTTGGAGCTGGGCCCACAGGGCACTAAAAGACTCAAGTTGACCTGTCCTTCTGAGTCACCTTTGTTCCCAAGTCTGACAAGCTCTGCCAATACATCATTAATAAGTGATTCTGGGCCCAGCTTATTCAGCACTGATTGAATTTGTTCCTCAGCATATCCCAGCTTTAAAGCAAAATCCATCTTGGCTTGGTATTCTTTCTCTAAGTCAGGCTTACTATCCTGTAAAATACTGCTCTGTGAGAAACTTGGATGATCCAGGCAGGGTGATCGGCAGAGCTGACGGTGTGTCTTGGAAGGCATCTCCTTTTTCTTTAACTGACCATCTCCAGGTTGGTAGCTATAGTTGCTGTTCTTAAGGCTTACCTGTTCAGGATCACTCTCAGAGCTCATCCACTCTTCAGAATCAGCATTGCCCTGCTCTATGCTGTCCTGCTTTGGCTGTTGCTTCTCTTCCTTGGAGGCACTTTTCTCCATTTTTGGTGTCTCCACTGAAGCTGTGGCCGTCATCTCGTTCAGTAGGTAGTCTCAGTTCTAATCAGCTCTTTTTCTTCTTTTTACCCTGCTTAGATTTTAGGTGCAGTGGTATTCCTCTGTAGTAAAAGGTTGTGGTAGCAATGGTAGAAGAGTTTGCCTGTATTTGGGATATTCAGATGTTACAAGTCCCTATAAATAAACATACACACAAAAAAAATAAATAAACATACTTATGACAATCATAGTAAACTTCTGGAAAAGAATTTTAGATTAGAAACATTTTCTCCTAAGTCACTACAGGTTCTCTGGAGTTTGATTTTCCTGCTTACAATGATTACACTTACCTTATATGGAAAAATATGGAGTCATTAATTCTAATAATTCTCGACTTAAAATTTAATGGTGGCAATAATGTTGCAATTCACTTGCACACATATAAGAACAAAGATAAACATCATTATCTCTACAACCTTGAGGAAGAGAAACGATGCTTTTTCAACAGGATTCGGGGTGTGTGTGTGTGTGTGTGTGTGTGTGTGCCTCCTTGGGAGGACTCTTTCTTCTCTTTTCTGCCAGGGTTATATTTCCAGATCCCTCCCCACTGCTTAAATCTACTTCTGAAGGAGAAAAAGATATCTTCTCTATTATTACTCTGCAAAATATGAGGAACGCTATTTTCTAGGCAGTTTGGAAAACCATTAAAATTGCTTTCAGTCATTTGAAGTAGGCTGTCAAAGGGAAAGTCACGTTCCAGATGTTGAAGGAAATGTGCACACACACCTAAGTGTACTACAGCCTATTTATTCATTTCCACTGGTAAACTAAAGAAGACGACAATCCCCTCAGCACCAAGGTACACAACTTTAGTTCCAGCTATTCAGAAGGCTGAGGCAGGAGGATCTCTTGAGCCCAGGAGTTCAGGGGGTCAGCCTGGATGATCGTGAGGCTTAAAAACAAGGAGAAAATAAACTGAACTTTCATGATAAAACTTAAAATTAAAAAAAATAATTGAAGAATATAATTAGGGGAAATTTTATTTTTAAACTCCACCTTTCACCTTCATTATCTGTACTGTCAGGTTTCAATTTTAACCTGTTTTCTTCTTTTTAGATTTTTTTTTTCAGAACCAGGGATTGAACTCAGACTCTTAAGCTTGCCAGGGAAGTGCTTATTCCACTGAGCCATCTCCCTGGCCCTTGTTTTCTTCTTTTTGAGTTTTAGTTTTCTCTATTAAGAATGAGAATGCTGGTTCAATCCCCAACACTACAAAAATAAAACAAAAAACTCATGACATTACTGTAATTATCTTATAGACTACCTTGCTCGGTGATTGTCCTTAAGTTAAATGAGTTAAAAAGTATTTAGAAAAATGAATCCAAATATACTAATAGGTTAGATTTTTTTTTAATTTGAGAGCTAGAGATTGAATTCAGGGCCTCAAGCATGTTGGGCAAGTTCTCTACCACTGGAGCTGTACATCTCCAGTTCTTATCTAACTTTTGGTGGTGGACGAAAATAGTGACTGGTCTGGAAATTTAAAAATCACTTTCACCCAAGGTACTGTAAATTATATCCAGAATTTTGCACATTATAGGGAGGTGCTCTGGCACTGAGCTACACTAAGAATGCACTTTATTTATTTATTTATTTATTTATTTTTCCATAATTTTATTGAGAAACAAATAGCAATGAGACAGTTTCAAACCAAATTGATAGGACAGTTTCAATAATTAACACATTTCATACTCTCTTCTTAGTGGTTACTTGCTGTACAAGATGCAGACATGATCTCCTACTTACAAACACTATTAGAACAAATCCCTCTATTCATTAAGATAATGCAACTATATATCTATTCTAACCATTTTGAATACACAGATACAACATAGACATTCATCTGTATCCCCTTTTTTTGTTTAGTTCCATTATTGGAATATTACAGGTGTGTTAACTCAGCAAAATATTCTAAAGGAGTCCAGTAGTCTATAATAGTATTGAGTCTTCCACTTCACTGCCATTGTCAGAAATTGTTGACCTGAGTTCCCTACAGCTCAACATAACAGCATGGCTTTACCTCTTATATTTTGTTTTTATTGTTTTCTGCTGACAAAGGTCTGCTCTCTAGAATTTATTAGGAACAGAAAAACACTAGGGCTCCAAAATTTAAAGACCCAGTCCAGAAATGGGCATCTGAGATGAACACACAAGATTCAGAGGGTGAAATTAAAGAAGCGAATAAATATATGAAAAAATGCTCCACATCACTAGACATCTGTGAAATGCAAATTAAAACAACATTGAGATATCATCTCACCCCAGAAAGAATGACTATCATAAAGAAATCAACCAACAACAAATGTTGGAGAAGCTGTGGAGAAAAGGGAACCCTTCTCCACTGCTGGTGG